ATGATATATCCAAACACTTATCTCCAGGTATGCCAGAAAAGAATTTGACAACTTCATACATAACAATGCAGCAATGTAATACACGACACTGCACCCGCAATATAAATATAGATATATTTATTAAAAAACATTGTTATTTACATAAATAGGTAAATACTCACCCAATTCATAGTCTGTATCTTCTTCGTCTACCGAAATAAAGTAATGATATGTTAATTTATGTATATAGCCTTCCTATAATTATCATATTGACACGTGTTAGTTTTAGCATTATAACAAAGAACAACCTTTTTAAAATTCTATCATACTGAATTGTTGTCCAAGCACGTTGCCGAATACAACGTGATTGTTTATCCTAATTTGAAGTGTTATAATTTTTTGACCTGATATGAAATTTTGCAAAATTCTGTTTTGCCAAGAGTCGGCGACTAACATTGAACTAGTCCAGTACAATTTGTTAATAATTACGAATCAAAAGTCACCGGATATATTAGTTTCAAAAACGATAACCTACCGTCAGTCCATGCCCTGAGTTCGCATACGTGAAGGGAACGCTTCGATTTGCCCATTTTCTGAATCACAATGTACCTTCCGTAGCAGTCGAGATTGTCGTGTTCGATGTTAACCGGTGCATTTTTATCGTCGATTCTGAAACAGACAGGGTTGTCCTCCGCCGTACTGTGTACGCCAACTCTCACAACACTGTTATCGAATTTACCTGTAATGTTGCAAAATACAAAGAAAGGAAATTTACCAATCAGATACATAAAGTTTATTGCCAAGTCTGTAAATAGCTTGTTGCTCAAATGGATACATCGCATTCATGACGTCATCATTACGTATGCAGATACATTGTTCATGATATGTTGTTCTTGACAGGGATATATTTTCAACTTAGTGGATTTACTTACGTTTCTTGCTTTCGTCAAGGGTCAGTCTGATTTTATTCACATGAACCTCACTTCCAAGATCGATTTTGATGAAAGGCTTCTTTTTATCAGCGCCGATTGAACCACACGTGTCGTCATTATCGTCAACTATTGATTCACTGCCTCCTTTCTTGATGCCAAACACTGGTTTCTCATATGCCACGTTGACTGTAAAAGGTGTACGAGATATTATGATACTGATGTATTGCTAAAGCAAGTTACTTTGAAACGCCATAGCTAGGCAGAACACGTTTTCGAATTTACTATACACAATGTATAACTGAACCGCACCGAGCTCATCTATAACACGACGTAATACGAAACAAACAAAACATTTGACGTTATAGTAGAACTGAAAATAAATCGCCCTTCTAAACTGTGGGGACTAGGTCGTATTGCAACGTGTGTCTCTATGAACACAAGAGAGTTGTTACATACCCGAGGCGGTGGCAGTGCAGACCAGCAAAGTGACAGTTAGCAGAATAAGCTTCATGGCGTTGATGTCAGTGTGTTGATGGTTCAACGGCATCGTGACAGTAACAAACAAACCACAGAGCTTATATACGGTTTCCTTGCATTATTAAACATATTAATTAATTAGGATTAGCGGCAACGCATGGTTTAATTATTAAGTTATTGTTCTATTTTCTATTCATACCAACACTCTATTGTTGGTTTCAAAACATCCGCGGAATGCATACGTAATATGTTAATTTTTGCTACATTCATACTGAGTCATTTACATACCTTAAAACTGCCACGTCGCTCTAGTTTGTTTAATTAAGTTAAAAGATATTTGTGAACATTTATATGCGACCTCAGAATGTATGATGTTGTTTATGAACCTGCTTTTCTCCCGCCAACTACCGTTATAACATATCCCGTAGTTTGAGTACATGTAAAAAATAAAACAAACATAGATCTATGGTGGTGTATTATATGAAAGAACAAAACAAACATACCTTTGACAGTCAGTTATTTTTGTTTCAAATTTCGTCTCTATTCCCTGTTTTTGATTGTCAAAAAGTCCGACCAAAAGAACTTGCCACATTCACGCTTTTCCTTGTTTTATATTGAAAATATGTGTAATGGTATGACTTTGTTCATGGATTTTGAATTGAATTGTGTCCACAGCATAAGGACTAGATAATGGGTTTCATAATAGGCGTAATCGTATGCTGTGCACAACCATTGGAACGTGTTTTACATATATTGATAGACACTAGATATAATCCACGATATGTGTCACACTTCTTTTATAGCCATACAAATCAATCGACACATGAACATTACATCGAATTCCTAAAAACGTGATAATATTGGTAATGATGAAACTAACACACTTTTTCGGGAGAAACAAACTTAGTACTTGGTACATTACACTTTAGTGATATGAGTATTTGATAAGACCGGGCTCCGTGCAATATATGTGTTTCCATATACTTATACTAATTTGACATAAATGGTGTACAAAGACACCAGCACTGTTTTTTATTCATTTTATTTGTATTTGTTTTATGTCAAAAATAAATTAAAACATTTGGTGCGTTTTCACATTATGTAAAATACTATAATATGTATGGCCTTCATGCATACTCAATTTCAGTGAGATTTCCATCCGATGAAAAGGTATGAGGTATTTGTAGAAAACCGAATAAAAAATATAAGAAATAATATTTTGTTGATAAAACTTGAAATTTGAAATATTTTCGAACAACAACATAAGCCGATTATAAAGCGATTCAAATGTAAATTCGACCATGCGTTAATGACATAATGAGGGAAGGTCTACCACACACATGTAATTGTATATCAACTTGGCGCTACAGTCGTCGATTGTGTTCTAATTTTGTAATTCACAATCGTTGTGTTAGATCTTATGTTACCTATAGCGGAAACGACGTGGGAGTAAAAACGCTGGCGCGATATGGTACACGTGTTTGGTGATTATGGAATTAGATCATCCGACCTTTGGGAATGTTTACAATGAGGTTTTAGATCTCAGAAAATATAGGGTTACCGAATTATTTTCTCACACAAAAACATTGGTAAAAAATCCACGGAAATGGCAAGGTTTTGATGCAGTAATTGTGGTTTTCACATCTCAAAATTGTGACGGTTACCTATTGCAAAGTAATCATATTTAATTATAAAATAGGTGCTCGTGGTTTTCAATAACTATTAAAAGTTCTGGTGAACACCATTTGTTTTGAGAGTGAAAGAATTCTACAAATTTGGACTCATGTAGAACTAGTTCTATTTTCTATTCTATTCTTCTTTTATTTTTTGTTATACCATAATTATGTAATACTTTTGAAATAAGCAATGTGTTCGCATTTCGATTCTTTCTCTATTATACACTAGGCTATAAATACTGAAGTATCAAATGCGTGAACACGTAATAATGTATCGTTGTCCTATAGTTCTAATAATAGCGAGCAAGTAGTTCTTCGTACCCAAAAGTTCTGTTTGATAAAAGACATTCTAGCACGTGTGTTTGGTCCCACAAATTAAATGGAGCAATTAAGGCAAGCGGCTTTGATGACGCAATATTTCGATTGTTCACTTTGTCTTCTGTTTCCAATATATCAACAATTTGATGCTATTTCAGTTAATATGCATTACATGTTCTAACATAGTATAATGTATTTCACATGCGTTGTATACGTCTCATGTGACATATATAGAACATGGCCTGCCACGTTGACTATAACGCTGAACGTTGTACTGTTATTCATTGCGCCTTCACATCGCCAGGAACACGATAGGCAACTTTGTTTTTTCTCCTGAGAAAGACCGTCGCGCACAGTTATTCACAATATATCGCGAGGTGTAAATTGAGCGTCACAATGCTTTACTCCATTTTTACCGGTAACGGACTTATGCGCATCAGATACGACGCAAAGTAAAGTTTTTGGGGTCTTGAATATGTACTTCAGGTGCAGTACACGATCGTTGAAACAAACATCACTAGTTAATTACTCGAATGTAATGTCGCTTTGTGGCAATGCATTCAAGTGCAAGTTTAAATAAATGGTTTGAAAGAGACGCTCATAAACTGTGTTCCAATGTTTTACTGATATCACTACAGTGTGGAACACGTCATTTTATACATGATAATTTTTTTCGTCCATCCTGCAACATTAGTGTGTAAATTATTACAATTGATAAATAAAGTAGTGTTGTTGTTCCGTTTTTCTTAACACTCACACATGTTATTCGTGGGTGAACACATACTACTACAATGGAATGTATTTAAAACGCAACCAATTCCTATTAAAACCGTGATGATGGAAGAGACAGGTGTTTTATTATGCAATATATGGTGGATATTGAGACCATGTTTGAATATTACGT